GGGGGGGGGGAATGGGCTTGTATAAGAAGCCTGGGCGAGAGTGGGCGTGCGATGCGACGCAGACTATGTAGATACTCCGGACAGAAACGCAGCAACAAATTGCCGTGACGTTGGTGGAGCAGAGAAGACAGAACAATACGGACGGTGTGAATCCCTGTAACTTACGCAGGTCGGGCGGGCCCACGTGTATGCGTCTCGTTCCGAGTATTCTTAGCCATTCGTCAGCGTCGCTCGCCTTCTTTCGCTTTTTCCCTCCTGCTGGCTCCCTGTCTTTGCTCTCCCTCAGCCCCGATTCTGGTCTGCACCACTTCTTCCCGGGGCGTAGGCAGTGCAGGCCTGTCGTCCAGCTGTCCTCTACCGCTGGATGCATCATGCGTTGAACATCGGCGGGAACGAGCAAATCGCTCCCGGCCACTAGCCACCATGCACGACAGACGGTTTTCCTTACGCTGACCTCCCCAGTTTGATCTCGTGCCTCAATAGTTTCAACCTTGGAGTTTCATCCTAAGCGCAGAGTGCTGGTAGGTTGGACCTCGTTCAGGGGAGCGGTTATTCGACCCAATAACATCTTGCCCGACGCATAGTGGTAGCCTTGTGATGCCAAGTGTGAGGGACCCAAGTCTCTCCAGGAAACTTCAGCTTCCCCGAGACTTGATGGTCTGGTGACAACGCCCAGATGATCCCCCACCAGTCGAGACTCACGCTGGGTCTCCCCTGGATGGGGCGTAAGAAACCCGTTGATTCGACGGGGCCTTCGGGTTGCTGCTTTTGGGGATGATCGCCTTCAAGCTGTCTGCTAGAATGTCGCTGAGTGGCCTGATACCAGATACACACTCAGGAGGTGACCGTAATTGACCAACTGTACATCGACCAGATCTCCCGCCAACAGCACGATTGCAAACTTAATTGGCATGGCCTGTGGACTATGAAGGATACCGTTTTGTCCGCTTTTTACTGATCCACTGCGGGTCTCGAACGATCTCGACCCGAGCCGGGTGAGAGGCTCACCACTCGTGAATCCCGGATGGACACCCAGGAGAAGACGCAGCAGAGCGACGGGAAAAGGAGAAGCGGCGTTCGAGACTCAAGCTCTCCAAGCTCGCCACAAAGTCGGGAAATCATTCGTCCCTGCATGGACACAAGGAGGATAAGCGGACGCATCCGAATCCCAAAACGGAGTGCAACCATTAGCGATCGATGGCTCTGCTGACTGCAGACCTGACGTCAAAAATAAAGCCATGGAGGCGCACAACAATAGACGCCTAGCAAGGGCTCCAGCCCGCCTAATCTGCACTAACGCCGAGCCAACGAGAGCGAGGCCGAAGCTAAGGTGCTGCCAACTGTCGCCTGCGCCAAGCCGTGGTCCAGGCAAGTCACCGGCGCGCCTCCTCACTGGCTGCACAGGTTGGGTACGGACTATCCGCAGTCGCAACCCTCGTTGGTGCTCTCCATCATTATTTTAAGCGGATCGCTTCAGGTCTAGACTAAGGTCAGGGATATGCCCTGACCCCACAGTCTGCAGTGATGATGGTCTCTGATTTGATCTGCCCAATGATGGGCACGAGTCTCACCCGTGGATACCATCAACAATGCCTTGGACAATGCATAGTTCCTATCTAGGTCACCCATACTTTTCCCCGAGGAAGTCACGGTCTGAATTGTCTGAAATGACCATTGCTTCCCTGTCTTTCCTGCCTTGTGGCCCAATATGTTTGGTACTATTGGTCGGAAGCAATATCAATCCCGCGGTTAATCCCCGGCTGTACTGCTTCTTTCCGTCTAGGGTAAACCTTTTTGGACATCCTGGGTGAGTATATGCTACCCTGTTGGTACCTAAATTTGATATCCACCGCCCGTGGAGCTGATGATGGCGCAAGCCTGGTTCATCTGAAGTGGAAATTGACTCTGACAGTGTGTGTCCATACGTTTGACATCCAAGTGTCGTGTCCATCAAAACAAACAACATAAGAGCGGTGTGCATCAGCAGCCAGCCATTTGTCACCCATTCTCACAGCAGCTCAAGGCGTACAGCCCGGAAGACCGTGGAGTTCAGTTCCATGATGCACAATATTCGTCCTTATGGCCGTGTGGTTACCGGGAGAGCGCGGTGTGGAGATAGATGCTGCTTGACCGGCCCGCTTGTTGCAATTGCGCAATGACTCAGAGAGGTGCCTCTGCGCTGCACTTAGATTCGGCCGAGTTGCCTGCCTTCATGCTCCCGGATAATCTTATGAGGCCCCTATCCAGGTCATCCAAGTGGATTGGGCGTCCGTGGCCTCTTTCGAGGCAATTGGTGGAATACCCAGATGGCGTTTTCTATGAACTCTAACTTGGATTATAGACTTTGGTATTGAGTCCGGATGCTCTCGGACATAGTCCGCCCTGTTGCGCGTCACTTGCCACGGACCTTGCATTGCTGTCCAGATCAATATCCTTGTCAAAAGTACATGAATGTCAGGACACTGTCGTGGCTGCCAGCAGGCCCTGTTCAATCAGACAATACTCCCAATGACAATTGCCTGCTGCCGATTCTTCGAAATGGAGGCCGCAATCCTGTCTCCTGGCATTCTGTCTGATCAATTTTGGCTAATATTCACCATCTGCTACTGTTTCTGGCTGTTCTGGCTGTTTGCCGGACTTGATGCGTCTCCCAAACCTCTGCTCATCGGAAACATGCCTAGCCCTGGCATTGCTTTTTGCATCATGCACTGCCCCTGATTCACTTCAGAAATACTCCAGGAACAATAATGACCGTCGATCTAAAGCATACTTCCCACTTCCATTTCTGCGGTTACTGACTATGGCCACATCAATCATTCATGGCACCAGAATACGCATGCAGATCAAATCGGACTCCATACCATTGGAATAGAAGCACTGGACTCCTCCCAGCTGCCCTAAGACAGCAAAACAATGCCATACCCAAAGATCAAAGTCAACAAGACAACTAGCCATAATCTCGCACAACCCTCTCTCCCTATTCTATTCCTGCCCTTCAATCTTCCAAGTGTCTCTAACTACCTACCCCTTCCTAAGAGTAAATTTAGTATCGATCAGTTAGATGGAGCTTTACCACGTAATCCCATACAAGGGTCTGATATGTTTTAGATCTGTGATCGGCCAGTAGCAACAGTAAGACATATATCGTCGGCATCGTGGCAGGTAGTAGTGAAACAATAGATCAAATATTCACAGCATTAATAACAGACACAGAAGCGATCAGTCAGTTACTTATCTTGTGCTGCTGCTGCTGTTGGGTAAACGGGCAGACAGTCTGGGATATTTTTGGATTATCTACTGTCTACTTGATTGGTCTGCATTGGCTGTTTTCTTGAACGATTAATCGAAATCGATATTCAATCTGATTAATAATTATGCAGGAGACCTGAAACTTGAGTATATACGTCATATCGGATACTGCTACTATTGACAGAAGTAACTAGTTACTAGCATGGGTCCTTATCGTGCATGATCCGTCACACTGGATAGCCTCGACACCCACAATTACATGATCAACCATCGCATAACAACAAAAGCAAAGCATGACAATCATCAGGCTACCATGGCATGAACGATAAATATCATTATTATCCTGTCCGCATTGCCAGGTACTTAGAGCAAGGTTCTCGACTCCATCTCGAACGATGAGAGATCACATCTCGCCCGCCAGGTCGTGCATGCATGATGCACGTGCAGGGCCATGCGAGGAATCAGGTCCCGCCAGGTGGTCCAGAAACGGACTTAAGCGAGCCGGTGCGCCAGGGCTATAGCCATCTAATGGCCATCAGCCTCTGGGCGAGATCAGCCCCTCTGCAGGGGCAGCGCGGATCAGTGGCGCGATCTATGCGTCCAAGACTCCAACCGGCCCTGTAGGCAATCCAAGGTCCCCGGCGAGCCCCGGCGAGCCCCTGCAAGTCTCTGCAAGTCTCTGCAGGGTGGTGGCGACATTGGGAGGATGGATACATCACATCGTGAGATCCTTAGGCGGTGCTGAAGCCGTTTGGGAGCGAACTATCAACGACAGTGGCAGTGACGGGGACAGCGACAGCTCTCTCAGTCTCGAACCCTGTGGGGGACAGTCTAGATGTCAAGCTGTCGTGCATGATGCCTGGGCGACCAGGGAATGGATGTCGCGCCATGGCTGCATCGAAGATCCCTGTCTGCAAAATTGATAGATCGTGTGTTCTGACGTTGGCTGACAACGTTTCTACTGACTTGTAAATCAGGCCTAGGATCTATTGGCCGGTGTTCCTGACCCGCCAGCAATCTGGCCGACATAATCTACGAAGGACTCATACCCGATCTTCAATCTCCAGGTTTAGCACATCGTCTTCCAGGCTCAGGATCCCCATGGCCCAGCCCGCTTCGGTTGGGGTTTTGGCAACCGTGACGAACCGCCTTTCACCGGTGTCATTTGAGGGCCACTCCCCGTCGGGTGGTGTCCACGTCGAGGCACGCCGGTACGCAGTCGTGTCTTTCCGTTCGTAAGGAGGTCCACGACCTTGTTTCGCAGCAACCCTCCACGCATTTTCACAGCCGCTGGCCATAGTGTTGGCCGACTGCCAGCCGCTCATTTGGGAGAGGTTGCGCAGCCTCGTGACAACCCAGTCTCGTTGTGCGGGGTCGGTATATTGGACCGCGGAGAAGAAAATCGGCACGGTCATCTTGATAAGACAAGATCCGATGGTCGGGCTAAGGCTTCCCACTCCCGGAGTGAATATCTGGGAGTCATAGATGCCGGCGGCAATTCTCCCAAGAGTTTGGGTGTACCCCGCAGTGGCCGGCGCTACGACCTTGGTTGATACCATCATGGCGGGAGGCATCGATGGATGTAGCCGATGTAGGACAGTGCGTCCGGTAAGGAAGTAGCCCCACAGAACCGCTATGGTATGTGTCCGGTACTGAAGGGCCGGTCCGAAAGGCGTTGATATGGGAGGCATGCTGTCGGGAGGCAGCGGCATGAAATAGGGGCCAAGAGCCTGCTCGAAGGTGTCGAAGGCTGCTAGGATACTTTCCCACTCATCCTCCGCGTCACTATACGAGATATGCTCGGGTCCCTCATCCTCGTAGTTGGTAGGCACCGGGAACTCGACAAAGGCAGGCGGAGGGTGTCTTGGTCCACGAGGCGGAGCCATGCCGTAGAATGGCGGCGCACTCGGTCGCGCGCCAGGAGGCGGTTGTACAGGGCCGCCGGTCGGTGGCCCTTCCGGCTGTCCAAGGGGATTTCTTGCGAAACGAGCCATGAAAGCAGCAACTCTGGAGTCGGGCCGCCATTCGGATCCCGTAGCCTTGGCTGCCTTCAATTTTCTCTTTCTATCACGAACGCCAAAGTCCGCTAATCGACCAAGCAAGAGCCACAAATGATCCGCCGAGCCGTAGATGGCATCCAATCGACCCATTCCCGCACGCGGAGGGCACTGTCCCCACTGAGAGTACGGAATGCTGTGATTGTAAGCCTAATGAATGATCAACGAGTTCGGGGGATTCTACTGACAATAATGCGCCACCACTGATGATGCTCTGCATGAAATCCTGCTGTAGATACCACCAATAGAGATCGCACTGTATCCGATAGTTTTCAATATCCTTTCGTGTGAAATATTTGTCATGGTGAGGACGGCCTTGACCCTCGTCAACGTGCCCAAACTCGTCGTAACTCACGGCCCGGCCAATAAGCGTCCCGATGAAGTTATCGTTGATATTCCTTTCCTTTTCGGCGAAGGGGTCGTCTTCCGAGTCTGAATCACCGAAGAAGAAGGGTCCTGCTAGTGAAGGTCTCGGGGGTTCCATTTGTTGCCGCTGAGCCCAGATCCTGCGTCGCTGAGCACGTAGACCACGGGCCATGCCCGCAAAGTCAATCTCGCGCACCAGTTGAGCCGACCCGGCAACATGACTGTTCCACTTGGAATGATCCGCGCCCATCACCTCGTAGTATCCTAGCAGGAGCGTGGCAGCGAGGGTAGAGATCTGCTTGCGTCGAATGGGCAGGCCAACCGCGACGCTGACTCGTCTCAGCGCATAGTGGTAATGTTTCAGGGAAACGGTCGGTGGCGCTTGTTGCAGATAGGAGATATGTAAGCTGCTTAGGGCAAGGATGGCCTGCAACAATGCTTGGTTCTCCAAGGCCTTTAGTGGAAGTGTATAGGTCCAGAGCCCTTGCTGTGCCAGTGGGACTGGGGCGCCCAGCATTGTGGAAGGGTCCACGGGATGCCGTTCAAAAACGGATAGAACCGGTCCGGTGGAGTGGATGAAGTGCAGAAAAATCCGGGCTGTTTTTGGGTTGTTCAAGGGAGAGGAGCCAAAGGTTGGGAAATAAGAGGTAAGGATGTTTGGTTCGTTCAAGTACGTGGTGAATGAGCGAAGCTGCTGTTGGTCGCGATTTGCAGATGCCATGATGAGGCTGAGTTGATTATAATCTTGCACCTGGTTTTGCTCATCAAACTCCTCATCAGACTCAACATCGTAGTAGTCATTTTCAGAATCTTCCTCGGCATAAGACTGTCCCTGGAATACCGCCAAGCGAGGTAATCCCGCGCCGGGCATCCAAGACGAGCCCTGTGCTGTGCCTATATCGGCCCGGTAGCCCATCTCCAAGCCGGCCGACCGCTGTTGATCCAGGAAGGCTAATGTGTCTGTTGGTCCCTGGACCATTTCATATTCCTGTGTTGGGGGCATACGCGACTGCCCTTGGGCTGGGGCTGGACTGGGGTCCTGGAATTCATACGGCGTAGACTGTCTCAAACTTGCGGGCACAACAGGTTTGGGGGCTAGGGTCGGTTGGCCAGACCCGGCTTGCTGAGAAGGTACATGATCGATATCCCCGCTCGGAGGTGGTACAGACCAGGTCTGTGAACTGAAAGTCGCCTGCTGCGAGGTGATGGTGCCAGATATCCCCAACGGGTCCTTGAATACCAGACGCGGCACATAGCCCTTGCATTCGCGTTTGGACTTAATACAGTTATTGCAGATGGGTTTCTCTTCTCCGCATTTTATGCGACGCTGCCGGCAGGCTGTAGGGTTGGTCAATCCTGATTATCGGATGCGCGGATCTGATGTACTTACTCAGGCACCCTGTTTTGGTGCGCTTCTTAGGCGCTTTCTGAGCAGATCCACTTCCTGCAACTGTGTCCGTGGAGTCAACATGCGCTCCAGTTGAAGTGTCAGGACCCGGCACTATGCTTGGGCCACTGACAGATGGGTTCTGTTTGGACTTGCGGGTCTGTGCAGCTTCCATAGTGGCAGGGCGTTGGATGCAGGCTTGCTTCCATAGTAATGAGACCAATAGTGGATAGTCCGAAGGCGCTCAGACTAAGACTTGAATGGTCGCAGCTGCGAGTCAGGGATGATGTGGGTATCTCATGAGAAGAAAGAATCGAGGACGAATAACTGGTGGGGCGACGTTCTGCCGCCGGGCCATGGCGCCCTCGATTGGCCCGAGAGCGTTGCTCTCCGCCTCAGGCATATATTGTGGCCCCTCATGGTGATGGCAGATTGAAGATCATCCCAGAGACAGATTGAGTTCAAGTCGGTTATCGAACCGGAGTGACAGCATTAACCCATTGAATGGAAGAGTTTCTTCTGCGTCAATTCAGTATGGGGTGGGGCCACAATAGCCCGCAAACGCTGTAACTGGGTCATATAGGAAGCATCCTTTCATACAATCACCACGAAAGTGTCATGGGAAGCACGCGCGAAGAGAGCCGGCATAGGAAGCATCCCAGTCGTCGGATTTATAGAACCGAGAGAGGAAGGCAGCACCTGACCTGGCATCTCACTTCGCAAGTCCTTCCCAAACCGGAATGGTCAGCAGCACCCACAAACCGGTTCACCGCCCGACCTAGACGGCAGAAAAGCGGCCGAGTCATTGTCCGCCTTTTATTGCCAGAAATTTTTGGGATTTCTCCTCACTGTCCAGGCCGATATTCCGGATTGCAGACCCCGCCAATTTTCTGTGGGAGGAGCGAATCTGAACTGACGGTTCACTTGTCGCGGATTCGTCGTGCGAAGCGGTTTTTTTTTCACAACGCAACCATGTTCGCCGTTCCAGGCTGGTCTCTCGAGACCTCTGCTCTCAAGCAGCAGGAGCAGCAGACCGACGCCAAATCGAAATCGAAATCGGCGACTGGGGCCAATGGAACCCCTCTGAAGACCAACAAGCGCAAGCGCGAAGATCATGTCACCAAGGGAAACGTGGATGAAATGTACCGTCGGCACATCGAGGGCCAGAAGCCAACTCCCAAGGGCCAGAAGCAGAATGTGACGTTTGATAAGAAGCAAAAGAAGGAACAGAAGCCCAACGGCGGCGACCAAGGCTCCGCGGGCAAGAAGGGCAAGCAGGAACAGACTTCGGAAGGGAAGCCAGAGCCTGCCGCAGAAGAAGGGAAGCCCGCCGGCAAGAAGCAGAGGAAGAACAAGAACAAGAAGCAGGACCAACAGGAAGGAAACCAAGGCGCTTCCAATGACGCCTCGGCCACCGAGTCTTTCCCTCCTGCACCACCCAAGACCGAAGCCATTCTCACCCCTCTCCAGCAAGCCATGCGACAGAAGCTGATCTCGTCTCGTTTCCGCCATCTGAACGAGACGCTATACACGACGCCCTCCGCCAAGGCTTTCGAGCTCTTCTCCGCCAACCCGGAGTTGTTCGACGAGTACCACGCCGGGTTCTCCCGTCAGGTCAAGGAGTCCTGGCCTTCCAACCCGGTTGACGGCTACATCAAGGCCTTCCGCGTCAGAGGGGCGGTCAAAGCTCCCAGGAAGGGAGGCAAGCCTGACAACAAACGGAACCCCATCGCTGCGCTCCCTCGACGACCCAATGGACAATGCACCGTTGCTGACCTTGGCTGCGGTGACGCTCAGCTCGCCCGTGCCCTGCTGCCTTCCGCCAAGAAGCTGGATCTGAAGCTTCTGAGCTATGACCTTCACGCCCCTAAGGACTCCCCCATCACCAAGGCGGACATTTCGAATCTTCCCTTGGCCGACGGCTCCGTGGACGTCACCATCTTCTGTCTCAGTCTGATGGGCACCAACTGGGTGTCGTTCGTGGAGGAGGCCTGGCGAGTCCTGCGCAGTGACGGCAAGGGTGAATGCTGGGTCAGTGAAGTCAAGAGTCGATTTGGCAAGGTGCATCGCAAGAAGGCCCAGATCGGGGCGAAGAAGCCGTTCAGCAAGTCGGAGAAGAAGAAGATCAAGAAGAAGGCGGCGGGCGATGACGACGGATCGGATGTGGAGGATGCCGAGATCTACGCGGAAGACGCTCGTCCGGCCGACAACGACGACGAGACGGACATCTCCGCTTTCGTGGAGGTGTTCCGCACGCGAGGCTTCGTTCTGAAACCCGAGTCGGTTGACAAGTCCAACAAGATGTTCGTGAAGATGGAGTTCGTCAAGGCGGGTGGTGCACCTACCAAGGGCAAACATGCCTCGGCCGCTGGTACGAGTGCTGCTGGACCCGGCAAGAAGAGGTTCATTGACAAGTCTTCTCTCAACGAGAAGGGAATGAGCGCCGAGGAAGAAGCGGCTGTTCTCAAGCCTTGCGTCTACAAGATCCGGTAGATCTGACCGGACGTTGCATGTTATGTAGCCATCTGTACATATGATATCATCGGTCATGGTTTCTGTCAACAACTAAAAGCACGACTGCAATAGCAGTCACTGAGCATGGGGCTGGGAATTCAAAACATTCGAATCATTAGACAAGGTCATTGTTCTTTTCTATCGATACCAAAACAATTACCTGTCCACGCAGGACGACTATTGCTGATATACGCATTGGCCCGTAAGATCTTCATGCCGAAACCGCCTCCTTTATTGGTTCCCGCCCAGTTGCGCCACAGCCCTGCCCATCTCCTCATCATCGTAGATCCGGAAGCCCTTCTCCTTAGTCACACTAGCGAGCTGGACGTTCTTCGCGTCCAGCTTCTCCTCCATGACCTGCTTCAACGTCTTCAGCACCAACGTCTCCGCCTCAGCCAGCGTCAAGGAACGATGATATTCATTCTGCAACTCCGCCTGCGCACCCTCGCTTCCAGACCCGATGGCCTTGGCATCGTATCGGTAGAACGTTCCGGACGGTTCCGCGTAGTATCTATCCCAATAGACGAATCAGCACACACTCACTCACGATACTAGGGTCTACCGCTCCACATACAGTTGCGGACCATCCTCATCAATACCAGCGAGCAGCAAAGCGACACCAAAGGGGCGACTCATGACACTCTCCTCGTCGTCTCCCGTCTCTCCGAACCGCAGAGCCAGGTCACAGATGGCCTGGGTGCAGCTCTCGACTCGCAGCGGCTCGGCGTAGTGGAAGGCATGGTTCTGGCATTCGACGCGGGCGTGCTCGATCAGGGACCGGGCATCGGCCTGTAGGCCGGACATGGCGCAGCCGATGTGTTGGTCGATCTCGACGATCTTTTCGACGGAGGAGGCCTCGAGGAGGCTGGAAGTGACGCGCTTCTCGACACCTAGGATGACACCTTCGGAGGTTGCGACCTGGGTAGGTTAGGTTAGCAGAGTTGTTGACTGTAGTTGATGTAGTAGATATTTGTCGAGAGATTTGTAAAGCAGCGTTTGAAGACATGCGGGATGGATGCACGTACACCGATCGCTGTCGAACCGAGTTTGATAGCTTCGAGAGAGTATTCAACCTGGAATAGACGCCCCTCCGGAGAGAAGGTGCTGTGATCGTATGGTTAGAGACCGGATGGGGTATGCTGCCACGCAGCAGGGGACAGCAGAGGTCGTACTTGATTCCACGGTCTGTCGAGGCACGCTGTTAGATGACCGCATCAGAGGGAGGTCTGACGGAGCTTACCGTATTCGGATCGAGCGATGAACATGGTGAGTTATGTGAAGAGAGTCGAGACAATTAGAGAGATGCAGGTGAGACAGTGAGGAATGGGCGGAGAAGACAAGCGGGGGAATCGATAGAAGTAGGACGGGGTGTGGCAGCAGCTCTTGGGAAGCTCGGGCGAAGCTGTCGCGGGCTACGCAAGTCGAACGAGTGCCTGGCGGAGAGCCCGTGGCTGCCCCAGGCTGCAGTCAGGCATCCACGACGTCTGCTTTGCTTTGGCGGATGGAACCCAAAACGACCGGCTTCGGGATGCTCCCTCCCCGGATTCACGGGAATTGGAACCAGCAATTTGCCTTTTTCAATGGTGTTCTAGTCTTAGGCTGCATGATTGTTCCTCCTTTCCTGACCTTGCGGGACCATGTCCGTTAATGACCGTCGCGCCAGCTACATGAGCGCCCCGAGACCCCGCGTTGCGTCCAACCGCGTCGCCGACGCTGAAAAGCCCGCTCTGCGCAGCGCGGCGTCCCCCTTGCAATCGGAGACCATGGACCATCGCGGGAGCTCTTCGAGCCAGAAGAATAAGCCGACCCGCGACCAACAACAGATTGTGAGCGACAAGCGTGCCGAGCGAATGGCAATCCATACACGAGAGAAGTCCCAAGTCCGAACGAGGAATCTCGTTAAAGAATCCGCCAATGCCAGCAATCGAGGCGAGTTTATGGAGAGATCTCGGTCGAAAAGAGGAGCGAGCCAGACCGAGGGCGCCAGCCCCAATTCTCGCAAGAAGGAGAAGCAACCGGCGGAGAGTCAGTCTAGATCCCCCCGAGTTGCTGCATGTTGAATCGTTCGCTCGCTGACTACAGTGTTGTTCTAGTTCCGTGGAGCCCTCAAGCCTCGTTGATGCCCCATTCTACAGCGCCGCTAGCTAGTCGAGTATCGGTTCCTCCGTTGGCCTCCGCATTGCCCCAGTCGCTTCAACCGACACCGCTCCGCGAGCTTTCCGTCGACGCGCAGGAGAAGGCGATCCTGGAGGACTTGCTATACGTGTTTATGGGCTTTGAGGGCCAGTATATCCATTACCGTGCCTCGTACGACCCATCCGCGGAGAAGGATCGGTTGACTGGACCGGCTTTTCAGTTACCCACGGGGATCGACCCGACTCTCAAGGACCTGACGCAGTCGACATTGACGATCGCGACCCATTACAGCGCGTTAGAGTCATTCGTGGAGGTCCAGAGTCGTGCCGAGTACGGGGCGGTTAGCCATGCACTATGCGCAACGATTCGGAAGTTGCTCAAGGAGTACTTGGTCCTCGTTGCCCAGCTGGAACACGAGCTGCTGAACAACCCGAGCTTTACGCTACATGTTTTACATTTACATCTGATGCCGACCAGCCAATGCTTGGCGCAGCTATACTCCTTAGGCCAGGAACTGCTCCGGCGAAATGGGCTGTTAGACCAAGACCTCGACGAGTCCATTGATGATTTTGACGATGTGGACAACATTCTTGAACAACTCAAGGAGGGTGGAGAACTTTTGCCGGGGGGCATGTCGAAGAGGATCTGCAAAGGCGGCAATGTTCTGCGGCTCCTGACTGAGCGCCTGGCGACCTTCTCGGGCGACCCAACCACGAAGGCCCTCCTGGAAAGGCTGCTTCGGGACGCGAGTCGGCCGTACATGACCATGCTCAATGAATGGCTACATCATGGAGGGATCAAGGACCCACATGGCGAGTTCCTCGTGAAGGAGCAGAAGTGGATCAAGCGTGAGAAGCTCGAAGAGGACTATACAGACGAGTACTGGGAGAAGCGATATACCATCCGCGACAACGAAGTCCCGCCACAACTCGAGAGTGTCAAAGACAAAGTTCTCCTGGCCGGAAAGTACCTTAATGTAGTGCGAGAATGTGGTGGTGTCGATGTTAGCAAAGCAGTGAAAGATGTTCCGAAAACTCTCGACGACCCTCGGTTCCTCGAGAACGTCAATGCAGCCTACACGTATGCCAACGCGTCGTTGTTGAATCTCCTTTTGACGAAGAACTCGCTCACGACGCGCTTCCGTTCTTTAAAGCACTACTTCTTCCTGGATCGCTCCGACTTTTTCTCCTACTTCCTCGAACTGGGAGCATCGGAGCTTCGCAAGCCCGCTAAGAATGTCAACGAAAACAAACTTCAGTCACTTCTGGATCTGGTGTTGCGACAGCCTGGCAGTATCGCGGCCCAGGACCCGTTTAAAGAGGACGTCAAGGTCCGAATGAACAAGGTCGGGCTTACGAAGTGGCTGATGCAGGTTGTGAGTGTTTCCGGTATCGACCAGGATAATCCGGAGGCGGCCATCGAGAAATACCAGGCACCGACGCAGGGTGGAGAGGACGACAAAGACATCCTGGGCTTCGATGCTCTGGAGCTGGACTATTCGGTTCCTTTCCCCCTCTCCCTCGTCATTAGTCGGAAAACGGTTCTCCGGTACCAGCTGATCTTTCGACATATCCTGTCGCTCCGCCACATCGAAACCATGCTGGTCACCTCATGGCTAGACCAGAGCAAGGTGACCGCCTGGAGGCACAAGTCCTCCGACCGGCGATTGGAGATGTGGAAGCGGCGTGCGTGGAACCTACGCTCGAAGATGCTGGTATTTGTCCAGCAGCTCCTCTACTTTTGCACGGCGGAGGTTGTCGAGCCCAATTGGCAGACTCTCATGGACCGGGTGAATGGAACCGATGCAGATGGGTCCGAGGTGACCGTCAACGGCACCAAACAAGTCAATCGCACGGTGGACGAGCTCATGCAGGACCATGTAGATTTCCTGGACACCTGCCTCAAGGAATGCATGCTCACGCAGGCCAAGCTGCTGAAGGTTCGTGCGCAAGCCCTTATGATCGGACTATTCTAACCTTTGCAGATTCACCATCGATTAATGACCTGCTGCACCATGTTTGCGTCGTGGGCGACGTCGTCGCTTGCGCGGGCGCTCGCTTCCGCGGACCCTGACCTGGCCGGGAACAAGGCTGCTGGCTCAGATGGTCGAGGATACGATCCGTCGCGTATTGACAAGCTGGAGGAGACGCTGCGGCGATGCGAGGAGCATTTCAACCGACACTTGCGGATCTTGATGGACAGGTCGGTACATTTCCCATTGTCTGAGGGGATGCTAACGTGTCTAGCTTGAATTACTATGCGGCGACAGAAAGTGTTGTTCTTCTTAAGCTGGCACACGCCTTGAGTGCGATCAGCAAAGAGGACTGAACTGTTTGTCCTCGACTTGGATCTTCCCGCCAGTATCGCGCGATCACCACACCAGATGCAGCCTATAGTATGGCTATACATCCTGAGGGCACGTCCAGCCCTGATACAGCCCCGCCAGCCATAGAGGCCGCGCTTGCGGAGGCCTGAATCACACGACGACTGATTGCTCAGCGTCTCGTCTCGTCTTATATCGTTCAGTTTCTTATTTGGTTCTTAGCAAGGCAGGATGGAGTACTGGCGTGGAAGGACGACTTACGCCGATGATGATTGAATACCCATACTGAATAATGCGCGATATGACTAGTTAGCTATACCATATACTTTATACTTGACAGTTCGGAATGCTCGGGTGTCTCCGCGTCGCAACGCTTACCCAAAGCGTCACTAGGCCTCGCCCAGCTATCCAGACATGGAACATGACAGTGCTATCTATGGTGTAGTGATGTACCACCGCTCGTGACGTGCCGGGATTGTTCCACGGATATATGAACTCGTGTCCCTCATCCATCTTCCACCACCATCACATCCCAACCCATCCCAATTCCAGCCCCAATCATCCACCATCACATCAAAACCAAACACCAACCCACCACCAACCCACCACAAAATGCCCCCTTCTCTCTCCTGGCCCAAACCCCTCTCCCTCCCTTTCTCCCTCCCCATCTGGCTCCCCACCACCCCCAAACCCCTCACCCTCCCCCTCTACAAAAACTACAAAACCTACCTCTCCTACGGCCCCGGCGGCAGCCCCTACAACCTCCTCGGCTGGTTCGGGGTAACATTCCTTCTATACCCATTCGGGCGAAACATGACCAGCACCGCCATCTACGAGCGAAGAATTGCCGCGGGGGAAACTACCTCTTTCATGACCGAGGATATCGATACCTTACTTGGAAATTTGAAGAGGGAACGGGCAACGGTCGGACCGCATTATGTGCCGTAGCGGTTGGTGAGGGAGGGGGAGTTTGCCGGGGGGGGGGGGGGGGGGTATCAAAACGGTAAGCTTCAGTATCTTTTTTTCTGTTACGAGTACTATTATTATCCAAAAGAAAAGATATATCCTTTAGTTACGACAGGGTCAGATGACTAGTGTGTAATACTAGTTATGCTATGTGGGTGTGGAATTAAGATACTAGATACATCCTTCTACGCCCTCGCGACCCGCAACAGTGATATCATCAAACTGGCCGAATCGAAATTGGAACTCCACGCGAACGCCATCTTCCTTGCCACGGAGTCGTTAGTTCATCGGACTGACACCACCAGACGATTACAGGGCGAGTGTGTGCATATCCACCGATTGAAGGATTACTCGTTGCATATGGTCTTGAGTGCGGTGGATTGTATGTTTCTCTTTTTCTCTTATTTTTCTTTATTGGTGTGGTGTTGTAGATGGGTTGAGTGTTTGGTGTGCTCGGTGATTGGTTTGATTACTGGGTTTTTTTGTGGTGGGAGATGTTGGGAGATATGTTCCGTGGGAGAGATGGTACTGACTCCCTGGCATAGGTAAAAAAGTCTTCGATGCGGGCTGGGGACAGCGTCATGCGTTCAGTGGAGTCACGATTCCGAAGGTGTTAACTGGTGGTCGAGGCATTGATCTACCATCTGAGTATGTGTTGATTTATGCACCGCGGACGGAGGAGGAGGTCACCCTGGTGATGGGTCTTATTATGGCGAGTGTGCGGTATTTATCTGGGGCGGAAGTGCAGTGAAGATGGCAAACAGCCAGCAGGACTGGATGAGTATGGTGGTAGACTACGTTGTACCCGAGAGACTAGCAATTTCCCCTCTGTGTCCACTTTGGCAGAATAGGGAGTGGTGGGTGCAGATAGTGCAGTGGAGACTTAATGCGTTCTCAGACAGTCGTGCCTCGAAGATATTTCATCCATAGTAATAGTTATCACTGACAATGGGCGGGGACACGCACTAGCGGGCCTAACGGCCCTAACCGCCCGAATAGCCCCCGGCAGCCTCCCCCTACCCGAAACTGAACCATGGTTCTGGGTTGCCGCCAACTACTCGCGCTTGTGCCCATGCCTTTCCTTGTCAGACCCGACGGCTTGGATGCTTTAATCTCAGGCCCCTCGGACACCCTTGACGTGCATGACCTCCCTGTCTACATGCATGGGTGGTGTCGGAGAATATCAGTGCCAGCGCAAGGCGCGCGCTTGGCACCAACCGAATGGAGCCCACGGGTCGGCCATTTGTCCCCATCACAGCCACCAGTCCGCGTTTCATGTGTCACCTCTGCGGAGCCGACAGTTCATCATCCCAGCGCCTCTGCGCAACCTCGAGGCCTCGATCGAGACCGGGCACCGCATAAGCGACAACCTTGCTCCTTGTCGGGTCGGAGATGGTGACGCGAGTGGCCGGTCTTTTACTCGAACCGGTATGTCTAGGGACTCCGCATCCGTTTAGGCCCCGATCATCTGTCGCTCAGTTGGACTCGGAGCCAATGTTCCATCGCCACGAGCGATGTCATTGGCGCGTTCTTCAGGGGCGGTCGCACGCCAAAAACTTTGCCAGCCTCGACTCGAACCCGCATCTCAAATGGCTTTGAGTCGCGTCTGTCTCGACTCCTCGAGCCCTTAGACCACGGCGCGATACCAAAAGGAGCGGTGAAGTGGATGCCATGGACCGTCATAATGTGTAGCAAAAAATCCTGCAATAAATGGTGCGGGCCGCTGGCAGACTTAGCACCCTCGACGTATCATTATAGTCGCTTACCCGTGCTTCACCATCATGAACAAATGACCCCACTCGATCCCAGTACTGATGCCGTCATATAAGGAGTATAGCGTCTCTGAAAACCATCAAGTAGGACTGTAGGGGTAAGGCAGTCGCCATGACGGGCTGGGGCTTCAGGGTGACGGCGGGACGAAGCCAGGACTCCCGACGGTTGTGCGTTGACCTCCAATGGATGCGACTGGTCCTGCTGACCCTAACTTTGAGTCTTGACTGGCTCCTTAGGTGGAGCTTATTTTTTCATCCCCCTCATGTCCCCCTTCGCCCGTTCTCCGCGGGCAGATATGGGTCATACAAGAGGGGATTCTCGTACTCTATAAGCGGCTGAACATAGTAGCGCGCTTGGATTAGTTCCGTGCTTCGTTTCCTGGCATACAGCTCTGTGCAATGCAATCGCAGTGACGTGCTGGACCGGCTCAAAAACAGCCTTACCTCCCACTGTCACTGGCTGAACCATAGTGTGGCTGCCACGTATTCTTAGCCTGTGGCTTAGAAGTCAATTACTAGTACTTGGCTTGGCCCATCCGACAAGAGGTTCCCAAGAGCCTGCGCAGGCACCAAGCGAGCCTAGTACCAACAACAAACTCTCTGCGCCCCGGTCGTTGCGAGGAAGACAGTGCGAATCCTTCGCCCGTATGGACAAGCGGGCAAGCCGAGAAAAGCCAGAACCACTGTACAACCGTGCCTGCCACACTTGTCGGTCGAATCCTTAGGGACAGCCCCAGGGGTCACTCTGGACTGCTTATATGCCTGAATCTGCCGGCATCGGTGTTTGTCTCCGGAAAGCACCATCGACCCCTCCTTCTCCTGATTTGTAGAAGTAATCTTCCCGGTGCATAAGCAGGCATGCTTTAGACCCAGGCACGGCATCCCCCAGCAAGCGGACATGGATGATCCTCAATCCGATTTTGGTTGCTCGGGAGTGTTTCAGGCTCGCTCTGCCAATGGTATTCACCTTTGCCTCTCTGCACCCAAGCAGATGCTGGGTCCTGCACTGGGCGGAATTTCCCACCGTCCGCACATTTTAGTACGGATGCTGAGTCCCGCGTACTCCCCCAGTTCGTCCGATAGGGCGAGATACACACGCTTTGTCGGGCCCAGTGGGATTTTATCACCCTCCTATTTTCGGCGCCGCATCAACCGCTTTTGAGACGCACGCTGAACACCCGTCTTTCGGTGCCCCTTCTCCACAAGATCAAGGCACTTTCTGTCATGAAATTCTTTTCCCACCCATCAGCACAAGCATCGCAGCCGATTATACAATTACACTGGGAACAGAGCCACAATGACGTACCCAGACTGGTGCCATACCCTGTACTGTTGCCAGGAGACTGACCTTTCCTTTGTCGTCAAGGAGCCCTGACTCGCAAACGGAAGAATTGGATGAGAAATATCGCCACACCATATCCATCCATGGGCGCGAATACCAGAAGTATTCGATTGATAACGAGATATCCTTTCAGCCAGTCGACGACGTACAGCTCCAGAATCTTGCGTCCGGAATGAGTCGTGGCTAACTTCCTTGTCATTAGGACGAAGCGGACCGGCTCGACCTTCAACATGATGTCTTCAACGAGGTTTTCGATGGCCGGCTGATATTCCCACCTATTCCGCAACCCCGAAGGGTTCTTGACTGTGGCCATGGTGCTGGGTCCTGGGCTGTCGAGGTGGCAGAACAATACCCAAGATGCGAGGTCGGGGCCGAGCAGTGAACCTCATGATCTTTCGAGTCACTAACGGCATCGCCGACTAGATAACCGGTGTTGATATATCTCCTCATATGAACTCGGACGGTGTACCGGAGAACCTGTGGTTTCAAGTAAGGTTTCTCCTATGACTTCCGAGACAAGTCTCTGAATTCGGATACATGTCTTGTCGCCAATGCGTCGTGTCGTGTCAGGTCTGGCAACCGCTGACAATTCATGTTATAGGTCGACGATTTGAATCGCCCCTTTACCTTTCCCTCCAACCACTTCGATCTCGTTCATTCAAGAATGATGGCAGCGGGTATCAACCGATCCAGATGGCCATCATATATTCGAGACATTAAAAGGTCCGGTTTCTGAAGGAAGACTAAGAGCCGTGCATATGAAAATAACTAAAGACTGACATCAATTTGACAGAGTGTTGAAGCCGGGTGGTTGGGTCCAGTTGGTCGAAATTTACTTCAACGTTCAATCGGATAATGGTTCGCTCACGGAGAAACATGCGTTGAGAAAATGGAGTACCCAATTCATGAGATCTATTGGGGATGTCAAGGATCTTCGTATAGGCACACGGCTGAGAGACCTCTTGCTAGCAGCCGGGATGGAGGAAGTTGAATCTAGAATGATTCCTCTTCCCCTTTCTGCTTGGTCTAGCGGTATGTTCATGGTGGTCAACTTCTGTGACGAACTCCTAACCTTGAAGTAGAAGCGAAGATCCGAGATATAGGTGCAGCCAACCGCGAAAGCGCCAGACAACTGCTTCCTGCACTTGCACTTTACCCACTGACTCAACGCCTGCACATGCCGCATGACCAGTTTCAGCAGTTGATTGACCAAGCTCAGAAAGAGGCTAGCAATCTAAGCTTGAAAGCCTATTTCCCCTTGTAAGTGATCCACAGGCGTACTCGAATTGGATGCTGACGAGTCAGGTACGTTTGTATCGGACGGAAGCCATTATAGAGGGGTTTAGGGCTCGAGTAGTGGTCTCAGGGCGAGCCTGCGTCACGGCAGATCAGGGAGTCGCTGGCCACAACGAAAATTGGCGTTTTTGGACATAGAAGACTGACTTCCCCGTTAGAATTTAAAATTGGCTGGACAATGGTCAGTCGAAAGGGATTTCCTCCAACGCATTATTGGCCGCAATCATTTTGCCTTAGATTGAGCAGTCAGGTCCAGTTCCATTATACTGTCACGCAAATGCTCCGAATGTCTTCAACACTCAGGATCAAAAGAACCCGACCAGCGTCAAGGACGTTTCTTTCTGGCAATTATTCATAGTGCCCATGCCCCACAACCCTCCTAGGCAGCCCCATTCAATGGACTAGTATGGATCATCCAGCCTCATCATCCTAACGGGGCTGACAGGGTGTTGGCGTATACTGAGATAACCTGACCGGTTGGACTGACGGACAAGTTTCGAGCTTCCGACTAGGCTTGGCTTCACCTAGATCAAGAAAGACCATGGCGAGACAGCATGCTGATCGTCCAAGTAGCCGGGTGGGTAGATGGCTGAGAGAAAGGAAAAGCAGACAATGCTATTATTGCCGACTAACAAGGCGGGTATGGTCCAGTAACACTAGGAAACAGACCCGCGAGAGGAGGGGACTGCCCGGTGTGATTAGGGTGGCCCAATTCGCTCATCTCGGGAGACTGGGCGAATCTTGAACGAGTCATGAGACCAGGGAACTAGGGGCTGAACTTCCAACGCTGGAACGGCCACGAAAGGGCGAATTCAAGGTCCAGTTGTACGCAAAGAGGAATCAGGAGCAGCAGAAAAAGAAAGGTGAGAAAGAGGGAGGAGGAAACAGCGTTTCGGGAACGGAACCAGAGCCACGGGACCTGTGCCTGACCACTGACTGACTACTGACTCGCCATGAAAATCGCCCCGAGATAAGCCCAGGCCCAGACTCCTCCCAGCAACCGCGTCAGGAACCAGACTCTCCTGGTTTCTTGCTACACGAGGGACCAACAATATCCTATCTCGGAGCCTGTTCTACGCCGTCATTGCTGAGGGTGCATCCTGGATTCATTGATCTCATGTCGCTTCTGCTGGGGTGCTGGGCAGTGACGCAATGGAGAAGCTGGCCTTCCTGACCACAGGAATGTGCCTCCTTGCGAGGATGCCCGGGCATGTGTCTCGCTTTGCTACTACGATAGGATGGTGCTTAGTTGGTGTTTCCACTTCCCGCGTCGCCTGTGGCCTGCCACCATCGTCCCAATTCGAAGCACTATGCCGCGCAAATCCCATGATACCCGAGAGGATCGTCAGGAACCATAGAAAATTGCCCATATGAGTTGATTGGTGTCCACTGGATGGTTCGTGCCAAAAGAATATCACCCTCGTCTACGGAGTACAGGACCTCCTAACCTCCTCATCGGGTCGACACCCTCCTGCTATGCCGGCGGAATAATTTCTAACCATCGGTGACCCGCTTTCACGATGGATCCAATGGGCTGGGGTTAGAAATGGCAACATGCCGCTTAATTAGTGGGCGAAGGCTTCTCCTCACTTCTACGGCGTCGTCGCGCCTACCCCCAAGGATCTGATACATCGAATTGACTGGGATTGTGGGATCTGGTAAGCATTAAATGACATCCTAGCAATAGAGGTGGCTTGTCGTTCGTCGCCAAACTTAGCAGCCCCCTTTTGCAAATGGAATCCAACCAGGTCTGACATTAGGACGAACAAGTCGGATGCTAGTAGACCGCGACGTAGGGGGCGCCGTAGCCACCCGTTAGAGCCTCCATCTTGATCACCGTCGAATTGGCGCTTGGGCGCTTATGGCGGGAATCTCAGTTGCCTGGCTGCCTGATAATTGCCTGATCCCCCAGGCAACAGACGACTACCCAATCGGGTAAGCACCCGCGGGGATTCTGAAAAAGTTGGCCGCCATTCGATCATCAACTCCCCGACTCCTCATCACCGTCGCAGATCACAGTGCACGTCTGGACTCAACATGCCTTCCACCTACAAGAGGGACAAGCCGTGGGACACGGACGACATTGACAAGTGGAAGGTATACAAACCCACTCTCCACGGAACAGAAGTCAGAAACTAACTTGCAAATTTGCGATCAGATCGATCCCTTCAACGCCGAAGACAATGTCGCCGGTAGTTTCGCCGAGGAATCCTCCTTCGCCACTCTCTTCCCCAAGTACCGTGAAGTCTACCTGAAGGAGGCATGGCCCGTCGTAACCAGAGCGCTCGAGAAGTTCGGCATCGCCTGCACCCTCGATTTGGTCGAGGGCAGCATGACGGTCAAGACGACGCGGAAGACGTTCGATCCTGCTGCGATTCTCAAGGCCCGCGATTTGATCAAGCTGCTGTCGAGAAGTGTGCCGGTGCAACAGGTGAAAACGCCCCACATCTCAATTATCCTGCTAGACTCTCCACTAACATACCTACCACTTGATAGGCCCTGAAAATCCTCGAAGACGACGTCGCATGCGACATCATCAAGATCCGCAACCAAGTCCGCAACAAGGAGCGCTTCGTCAAGCGTCGTCAACGTATTCTCGGCCCCAACGGCTCCACCCTGAAGGCCCTCGAGCTCCTGACCAGCACCTACATCCTGGTGCAGGGTAACACCGTGGCGGCGATGGGTCCCTTCAAGGGACTCAAGGAAGTGCGTCGTATCATCGACGACTGCATGGCCAACATCCACCCCATCTACCACATCAAGGAGCTCATGATTAAGCGCGAATTGGCCAAGGACCCGACTCTGGCCACGGAATCCTGGGACCGTTTCCTGCCTAACTTCAAGAAGCGCACCCTGTCCAAGCGTCGCGTCCCGTTCAAGATCACCGACAAGTCGAAGAAGGTGTACACTCCTTTCCCGCCGGCGCCGGAGAAGAGCAAGGTGGATCTGCAGATCGAGTCGGGCGAGTACTTCCTGTCCAAGGAGGCCAAGGAGCGTGCGCAGAAGGAGGAGGTGATGGAGCGCCAGCGTCTGAAGCGCGAGGAGAAGATGAAGGAGCGCGAGAAGGCCTTCGTGCCGCCGGAGGAGATCGAGGCCGCCGAGAAGAAGGAAAAAGCCAAGAAGGAAAAGAAAGACAAGAAGAAGCGCAAGCGGGATTCCGAGGCCGCCGAGGCCGACGGCGACGATGCCGCCGAGCGGAAAGAAAAGAAGAAGAAGAAGAAGTCCAAGTCGAAAGAGGATGCATCGGATGGAGAGGCGTGATGCCACTATCCTCTTCTTCTTCTTCCCTTCCCTTTTTATTCTCTCTTACGTCGTTGCTTCGGTTTCCCCTTGTGATTACTTTCGAGATAAGGCGCTTAGGCATAGCATGGGCTGGAGTTTCTTGTCTTATCTCTTGTTCTTCCACTATCCTCCCTTCTGTGTCTATCTGGAGGGAGAGAAGAAAAGCTTGTATGAGTGGGTCTGGTCATTGTATACTTTATATTTAGTGTGGATGTTAGTACTACTGGGTATTGGATATGTGACATTAAGATAACTAGATATGATTGTATTGCCATTTACCACAGGCCGAGCTGAGTGTTCTGCTCTCTAGCATCATCTAGGATATCTCATAGATCAAACAACCTTCACAACCCCATAAAAATCATAAAATCGAAACCATCATCAACCCCCCACCAACCACAAATCCACCGAACTACCCCCAACCACCTACTCACTCCCCTCCACCTCACTCCCCCCTTCCAAAAAAACCATCTGCTCCCTCCTACTCTCCTTCAAATCCAAACAAAGCACCAAAAACCCAAAACTGGCTACACTCAACGCGAAGAGAAAATAAAACGGCATAGAACTATTCTTGGACGGCGAGGCATCGATAATAGCGCTGGAGACGAGGGGCCCGATGAACGAGGAGGTCTTGCCGATGATGCTGAAGAGGCTGAAGAAGAGGAATTCGTGGCCTCGGGGGGTTACTTCTGAGATCATGATTTGGGAGTAGCTGTACCATGGGCAGACGAGGAGGCCGTAGAAGAGTTGGTAGATCTGGTGGAGGAGAAGGGGGGGTGTTAGTGGGTTTGGGAGGGAGGGGGGGATGGTGAGGGGGAATGGGGGAAGTGGGATGGAGGGGGCCGTACCCAGACTTCCCAGAGATGATGGAAGCCGAAATTCTGTGTCCAGATACCGATCATGCCCCAGCCGTCGAGGAGGATGATGGCGATGGCTATTAGGTTGAACATGGTTTTGGTGCTTAGGTTGTAGCGCTGTTGGGCGTACCAGAAGGCGTAGATGCCGATGGCCTGGTTGGTTAGTGGTGGCTCTTCTTGTGAAGTGGGTGGGTGACTTACCTGCGCTGCGATGCCGACTAGGAGTAAGTAGGTCAGCTGGAGCGTGTTATAGGATACAATGCTGTTTTGCAAAGTGGAAATAACAGTCACGGTCGTGTTGAGGGAGTCGCCGAGGAGAAAGTATCCTATGTCTTGTCAGTGGCCCACATCGATAATCAAGACACCGAAGCAACCAAGAACATACCGATCAGATATATGACGCTCTGCTTGAGCTTCCATACCTGCTTTCCCGCATGAACGAGCTGCTTCAACCCAGCAACAATGATATTATTCCCCTGCGGATCTTGTCCCGGCCGACGCTTCTCCAAAACGAACCATGGTAACGACACGAGAAGCCAAACCCCACTGGCAAATGCAATCAGGACACTCAGACCCCAGTTATTGTTCGCCTCACTAGCATCAACATGCAATGCAAACATGATCCCCACAATGACAGCCAGCACGAAAAGTTCCCCGACCGACTGAACGTAGAAAGCAATGTTCGAGAGCTGACTGCGCTTCATTGTATCAGCATGATCATATTCCTCGCGGGAGATACTGCCAGCGACGTATTGCTCGGCCACTTCCTTCATCTCCTTTGTGTTCCGGGCGAGGCCGGGAAATGCTGCCGTCCAGAACGTCAGCGTGGTCTGATACGCGATCAGCCCCACGATGTATAATCCGACCCCGACGTGCCATTTCTCTGCCTCGTGTACGCCCAGCCAGGCAAATCCAATCGCGTAGGCGACAATTGAAAGCACAATGAGGATATTGGGTCTCCAGTTGCCAAAGTCCGCGAAGCTGCCGATGATGAGGAAGAGGACGACCTGGATGGCGAAGGAGATGCCATTGCTGAGGAGGACGATGCTGTCAATGGATCGCTGTTTTCCTGCAAAGTAAAGGGTGCCTTGGTCGCCTGCGGCTTGGGAGAGAAGATTCTGACAGGCCGTGGGGGCGAAGTCGATAGCAACTGTTAGCGTTTTGGCTCGCGGGGTGATCCGTGGATGAGGACAATCTTACTGAATAGTGAGAGGCCATTGTTCCCTATATAATAGCTAAATGGGCGGTTTAGTACCCACACGAGGGGAATCTGTAAGTGACGCACGCATAATAAGCCCAGATCTCCCATCTGGTGGTGCGGTATTGGTCGTCAATTAAATCCGGTGCGACTCGTTGCTCGACATCACTCTCCGGATTCACTTCTCCCACCACATTGACGTCGCCGGTTTTGCGCATCCCTTGGGAGGACGCAGGCCGCGAAGTCGAGCTACGTGAAGCCATCTCCATGGTGGTGGGCATGGACGTGAAGACGGATCTGCCCCGCGCGTGTTTCTGCGGGGACAAAATGTAGAGAGATAAGCTCCGGTAGCACGATAACAACCAAGAGTTCGAAGGATCCTCCCCACTCGCTTCGGTAGTCTTGCGTTGGCCGGGATACGATTTGCGAACAATGTCCATGGCAGGTGTGTAGACAAGAATGTCGGGTCTGCAGCATTACTAACATAGGCAATGGGATTGCTAACTCTGAATTTGCCAATGGTAGTTGTATCCAACGAAAAGGTCTATATATATAAGGGATTGCATCTACACCACAGGTGATTTCTCACAACTTCGCCTGCCCGCTCTCTATTGACCTCCAGCTCTGCCCATCAAGCTTCTCGTAGGCCGTGCCATTGAGCCAGTACAGCTTATCGCCGCCCCAGTCCATCCGAGGGTCCCATCCCTTCTTGGTCAATGCTCCTTTGGCTTGCTTGAAGGTAACTCCAGTTTCCACCCTATTAGAATTAGCAAAGACAGTAGACAAATACGGAGTACCAGAGTATAACTTACTTGTCTGTGAGTCGGACAAGGCGCGGGAATGCGTAGGACGGTACACCCTTCTTCTTCAGCTCTGAATATAGGCTAGTCATGACACTTTCCTCGGTTGCGGAAGAGGGGTCCTCGAGAGTAATGCCAGCTGCACCAGCTTGGCCATCATAACTATCGACGTTGGTTAACATTGCATCGCGGTAGCCTTGCAGAATTGGGCCATCCCAGCAACATACCCGCTCAATTTGACGCCATAAACAACGGCATCATGGATGGATGGTAACCGGCAAATATGATCTCGGATTTCTCCGGCGCTGACATTTTCCCCCTTCCAGCGGAAAGTATCTCCCACCCGGTCCTGAAACCTGACCCAGCCATCATGGTCCCTCACAACCAGGTCACCGGTGCGCTGGAAGAGGTCGCCCTCCTTGAAGACATTCCGAAGAAGCTTTGTCTCGGTCGCATCCTTATTGTGGAGGTACTCGGTGAGCAGGTCTCGGTTCTTGACCCGGCCAATTGCCTCGCCTTCCTCACCAAGTTTAGCTTGAACACAGAACCCCGTCTTGGGGTCCCGGTAGGGGGCCTCCGTCTCGGTATCATACTTGACGATTATTGTGTCGTCTTCCAGAAGCCGTTTGATAGGACCAGAAAACCCAACCTTCCCAGCACCCCATGTTCCTACTCCCCAATTGTCGAACTTCGCCACACCTTCTGTTGACCGATAAAATTCACGGATTTCAGGGACCCCAAATCGTTCGCGGAAACGCTCCCAGATCTCTCCGCGCAATCCGTTGCCGCTTGCGACAATGCAAACATGATCTCGATCATAGGGAGATGGAGGGGTCGACAGAAGATATCTGCAGAGCTCGCCAATATATAGAATGCGTGTGGCTCGCGAATCATGAACATCCTTCCAGAACTGAGAAGCCGAGAACTTGCGGCGAAGGCATAGAGTGCCTGCATTTCCAATCGAGTAGCACAAACCAGTAAAATAGGCAGTGCCATGAAAGAGTGGAAGAGGAGAGTAGGTGCGCAGCGGGTAGTACTTGGAGCGGTTGTTGACATCTATTGTATGGGGGTTAGAGGTAATAAGCGCCATCATATTACGGATGGCACAAGCTTTGGGTTTTCCCGTAGTCCCCGAGGTGTAAATCAGGACGCTCAAATCGCCCACAGACTTTTTGGCAGCGGCTAGTCCTGAGGGAGAGTGTTGTTGTAAGTCTGTCGAGGTGATTGTCTCTGTCGCTCCCGCAGAAACGTCGTCAAAAGATGATAGATTTAGGGCTGAATGAGGCAGATCCGAGCACACAACCTGCGATAGGTCGGGCGTTGAAATGATGTATTTACTGCCGGAGACGCTGAGGCAGTGAGTAAAGGTCTCGTCTATGCAATAATGCAATTAGCAAGTTTTGAACAGCTAACTGGTCTGGTTTCATACCCCGGAGATTGGTGTTGATGAGAGCAGCAATAGCTCCTAGTTTAGAGAGTGCGTAGATGGCCACCACCATTTCTGGGGAGTTAGTGGTGAAAACGCCAACATAATCCCCCGGGTGAATATCCCTTGTATGTAGTAGAGCAGCAAATCTATCAACGACTAGTAAAACGGGTCAGTCAAAGAACGCGAATAGTATAGATCCCCAATCCACCACAGAGCTCACATACGGTCCTTGAGCTCACTATAGCTCCAGGTCTTGTGTTCAAACCACAGAGCTTCATTTGAGCCGTGTCCCTCCACCTCCACCACCCGCTCTAGCATCTTATAGATCGTAGCAGCATCGCCCAATTGGGCGATTCGCTGGCCTAGACGATTTGTCCATGCCCGTTCATTGTATAGCGATGCCAGGTCATTGGAAACAGAGAACTTGGCATTGAGATAAGCTCCTGCAGCGGCCGAAAGAGCTGATGCGATCGCTATGGAGGGACCGCTTATATCGGAGAGGTATTCCATGGGTGAGAGTACCGTGAAGATGCTTGTATAGGGTTGATGTTGAGAACGGGGATGGGAATCTCCTTAGAGTTAAAAGCAGTTGCTTGACCACCTATGTCCATTCAATTCGAGCAGGTAACGAAGCAAAGCACTCAACCCCACATTGATAATCATCTCAAGAATCATAGCTCCGCTCTGATACGGGGAGTGGGCAGATATAGGAATAGAGGCGTGTCCAGAGGATGTACGCGCTCGGAATATGGGATCGGGACGTGATCTACCGAGAGCTGCCGTTCCTGCCATGGCTATCAGCATCACAATACCTAGATTGGCAGGCAATCGGATGAATCCCACGATTGAATAGAATGCGGAGCGGCAAAGGAGATGGAGTGGGTCCCGACAGAAGGTACAAAGTACACGAAGTTTCAATTGGAGGGCTGACACCGGCGGGCCCCACGCCTGTCGCATCCCCCCGGCCGGAGGTCCTATGCATGTACGTATGTATACTGTATAGATAGTCGCGCTCGGACGCAGGCCACAGCTCGGTTATATCACACGTTACTGTCTAAAGGACTAGGTGAATTGATTTATCCTCATGAGTCTGCATTGACAATGCGGGCGGAGTAGAGCAATGGTCCCTTTGCACTGATATGGATGAGGCTGGCAGAGTGTCAGTGGACAGTGGGTGTATTGGGTAGACGTTAAGCCGGTCTGTCATGCCCCACCAAACCGAATGGTATTGGCAGCGTATCGGAGAGATCATCTGCGGCCAAGGAGGGGATCGAGGGGATCCTTGAGTGGCCAGGTTACACTCGCAGTCTCACGAACGGAGAGAACAGGGAAAAGGACCGACAGCCGAGGCGATGGGGGGATACCGTATCATACGGTGACGTTACAAGCGAGCGGCATTTCGCTCGGCTGGAAGTGGATTTGCCCCAGGTCTTCCTGCAGTGCCTGGTCGGCATTGGCGCCGAGTTAAGTTTCGGCTCGGCTGCTTTTCTGTATCAGTGTACTCCGTGTATCTGAGCTGGACTGGAACCGCGGTTGATCTCATCGCCCCGTGTTTGCCCCAGGCTAATTAAATATCCCAGGATACGCGGAGTAGCTCCTGTATCTCTTCTTTTCCCCGTATCATTATCGTCGCTTAAACAGTGACCCGTGTTTGAAAAGGTTCCCCTGACGAAATTACGCAGAAGAGAAGCTCAAGTTATGTCTTCAGCCCAGCAAAGATTAACCTCGATCGCAAACCAGCTTTCGGGGCCTGGAGCCACATCTGCAAAGCAGAGGCTCCTATCTAAGAACCCCGATGATATTGTATGGAGGCTCAGTTCTATCCTGCAATTCTCGCGAATCAAGTTGACATCTGGCAGGTGATCACGCTCGCCGTTCGAACCCCGCTCACGAAGGCCAGAAAGGGCGGCCTCAAAGATACGAGTCTTGATGACCTTCTCATCTCATTACTGACGGTAAATTGCTTTTTGGCGCCGACCTACTTCTCCATCTCTGACCAAGACTCCAGTCCATCCGCGAAAAGTCGAACCTTGACCCCAATCTCGTTGAGGATGTTTGCGTTGGAAATGTGCTCTGCCCCGGTGGCGCTTATGTCGCTCGTTCCGCAGTGTTAGCTGCAGGATTTCCTGCCACGGCTGCCGCTTCTATCGCGAACCGATTCTGTTCTTCCGGATTGCTGGCTATTCAAAATATTGCCAACCAGATTACGGCAGGCTCGATCGATGTCGGTATTGCAGTGGGGGCTGAGAGCATGAGTACCAATGCCGACGGTGGTGCTCCGGAGATGTCTTCCCAAATCTTGACTCATCCGATCGCCTCACAAAATACCCAACCCATGGGTCAGACGTCCGAAAATGTTGCGGCACAATTCAATATCACCCGTGAGATGCATGACCGGTTTGCGGCGAACAGCTACCAGAAAGCTGAGCGTGCTCAGAAGGCTGGGTGGTTCGACGATGAGATCGTTCCCGTGAAGACGACCATCAAAGACCCGAAGACTGGTGAGGTAAAGGAAATTGTTGTGGACCGGGATGATGGCATTCGTTACGGCACTACTGCTGAGTCTCTGGGCAAGATCCGCTCCGCATTCCCTCAGTGGAAGCCTAGTGCTACTACTGGTGGAAACGCTAGTCAAATCACTGATGGTGCTGCCGGCCTTATCCTTATGAAACGATCTCGCGCTCAGGAGCTTGGTCAACCCATCGTGGCCAAGTTCTGCGGTGCAACCGTTGCAGGTTTAGAGCCTAGGATCATGGGTATTGGTCCGTCGATCGCCATTCCCAAAATCCTTTCCAAGTTCGGTCTGAGCAAAGAGGAAGTCGACATTTTCGAGATCAACGAAGCATTTGCATCCATGGTACAAAAAAATAGTCCTGATGAACCTGCAAGCACCGGCTAACTCTGGCATAGGGAACATATTGTGTTCAGAAATTAGGCCTGGACGAGGCCAAGGTCAATCCCCGGGGTGGTGCAATGTAAGTTATGTGGATTCATCCAATCTAGCTCCGGTGGCTGACTAGACCTAGTGCGTTTGGTCACCCTCTGGGTTGTACAGGAGCGCGTCAGGTTGTGACAGCCTTGTCCGAGTTGCGACGACAGAACAAGCGAGTCGCAGTGACCTCCATGTGTGTTGGGACAGTAAGTCTTTCTTGCTAGCTATGCTGATTGTGGAAACACAAGATTTCAGGCTAACCTTTCCTTTCAGGGCATGGGCATGGCCGGTATCATCGTCTCCGAGCATTGAGCGTACTTTGCTATTGATATTGCATGATCTTCTGTAAATAGCTTTGCAATGACAATCGCCCCGTAATTGGGAAACGACTACATTCCTCGACTGAGCTTCTGATATCACTTGAATACCAATGCAGTACTGGTCGTGATTGTGGTGGTGTGGCTGTAGGGGCAGAGTAGCCTAGGTGGCAGTGATATCGATAACGCCTGCGCAATCCGGGGCGGTGGGTCATCCCCATGTTATGATCCCGAATCCATAACCTTAGTGAAACGGGCAGGTACAGAGTAGCAGTAGCTATGAATCAAACGAGGTCTTTGAAAAGAAAGCCATAACACCATAGGATCATATGCCTGCACCAGGTGCTGGTTAGTAAGTAGTCTATGGTATGCGAGATAAGAGCCAACGATATCTGGTGATCTAGGACGAATGCTTTCTAGTGAGGGGAGCCAGAACAGGCACTAGCAGATAGCGGCTTAGTCGAAGGCCCCGGCGGCCATCACGTGCACCCCCATCCGTCCGTCGTCATCGGAGTTGCCAAGACAGGCACCGTCCCATGACACCGCTCTTCATCCTCTGGCTCGCCTCCCTTATTTGTATCTCTCCTCACTCAAGTATCCTTCGAATTTGCTCAATATCAGCTCCAGTAGCCATTTACCGTCACACAATTCTATACCCAGCACAGGGCCGCACCTCATTATTCTTGCGACCATGAAGTTCTTATCAACCGCCGCGACGTTCCTCCTCTGCGCTGCGCCCTTCTCTGTCACTGCCCGGTCTTTGGACTTCTTTGACATCCAGACACCGATCAAGGCAGAAGGAAAGCATGTAGAGGGAGAAAACCCGCTCGAGTACTGCAGTGACCCTTCTAGTTATATCTTGCAAATAGAGAAGGTCGACCTGTCGCCTAACCCTCCTCTTCCGTACGCTTCAGCACACCCAGCCTTATCTGGACCGGAGTTCATACTGATTGGCCTATAGTGGACACACACTCACCATCTCGGCCAAGGGTACTTTCAATGAGAGGGTCGAAAAGGGTGCTTATGTGCTGCTGGAGGTCAAATATGGCTTAATCACTCTAGTCCGGCAGAAGGCCGACCTGTGCGACCAGATCGTCAATGTTGACCTCGAATGTCCTCTGGAGAAGGGCGAGATGACTTTGACTAAACAGGTTGATCTGCCCAGCCAGATCCCTCCGGTATGTTACTCCTTAGGTCATGTCGCTTGTGGAACAAATGCTGACCATGTCACAATCCATCAACAGGGCAGGTACAAAGTGCACGCCGATGTTTACACTGCAGATGACAGGCGGATTACCTGCCTTGATGCACCCAATGTCGAGTTCAAGAGAAACTTTCTCTGATAGCTTACTGGCTACTTTCGAGTACAAGTCCTGATGTCGGCTCGCCACTGTTCACGCTGGATGTCCCTTGGTTTCTTTACACATAACGAGTTGACGTTGCGCCTGCATAAGCTGATTTCCCATTCTTTTTCCCGGCTAGACCTTCAGTCTCCAGCCTCACTGTGATCTCTCAAAGCCCACGATGGCCAGGTTTCGTGCTTTACCCTTGTTGCTGTAAAGCTTTCGTTGCGCTACATCGACTGCGGCGTTCGGAGCAATGGCTCAAAGACACATTGTAGTACATTCTTATCACCGTCCGCTTAATTTTCTTTTACTCATTGGCACTAATCAGCATTTGTACCAAAATCGCATTCAGAAGATTAAATCAATGCTACTACAGCTCAGTGGGATGCTATTGGATAACCAAGATTGACGCCCAGCGTTATAAATGAATAATCCCTCGGGATGCTTCTGCAAGATTGGAGTCACGAAGCTCTATGTGCATAAATGATATATTGGGTATCTTCCCTTTGCCCTCAAGCTTCCTCTCGTCATGTGTACAATTCGCGAAACGGCAGATAAAGACAATGCGATGTGCATGACACGACCCGATGAAATACATACACAATGCTAAGTCGAAAGAAACGGCGCAGTAGATCTACTCTCCAAACAGACGGCGCACCCGCTTGAGCACACTGTCCTTTTCAGGATCATATGGGTGATCCTTGCTTGGGATCTCAAGCACGGCAGGGAAGGCCTCGGCGAAGGTATCCACGCTGTGGCGGATACGCTCTGCAATCTGTGTCCGGATTTTAGTAGCTGCGAGGCCATAATCATGTTGTTCGTAGATGTCGCGAATGGAAGCAAATCGAGCCACGTACATGTTGGTTGATGAGGACCACGGCAATGTCTTTCCTCTCCTGGGTGAAGTTCTGGAACGCTTTCTCGATCGTGGAGGTTTCAGTTTTGGCGTCTACCACTAGGAAGTTCCGCTGGGCATCCGGGCCATCTGTGACGTGCTGCGATGTTCAAGTTAGTTTGGTCGCATACTGCCACTCCGTTTCTGAGGATACGTACACCGACACCGGCGAGAAGGAGACCAGTTACGGAGCTGGGCATCATTCATCAGCGAAAATTATAACCACATAGAGTCAGAGGCGTAGTGTACTCTTCATCTCCAATGACCGCAAGGAACTGCCGGTCCTAATTATAGTGTATAAGGTTAGTGACCGACTGCTGGCAACGCGAAGTGAGGGGAACGTGAAGTACCTTGTATGAAACGGCGGGAGCCGCCATATTGACGAGAGAAAGGAGGGATGAAGCGTTGGTTGGTAGTCTGCTTCCGGGTCGACAGGTATCACCGGCCAAAGATAATTCGCGTCGCCCCTGAGCCGAACACAGGAACGTAAAGCTGGCCCCGTCGAGTCTGGATCCCGATTGCCTTCACAAGCGGACGTTCGTCATAACTAACGGCGCCGGCGCTGCTTATCTAAGCCGGGGTTGCAACTCCACCTTTTGTTTATAGGCGGAAAAAAGGAAACTTCAGCTTCAGTCTATCGCATTTCACCAAAGGTTGGTTCCAGACCGTTGGCTTTTCGCGGCTAGGACTACAGGATATGAAGCTAATATACGAGTCGTGATCTCGCAGCATTCCGCGTCGCAATCTGCCCTTGCCACCCTCATCATGCCCCGGCTTGTCCGCCGCCGACCGTTGACGGAGCGCATCAAATCCTACTTGAACCCTTTGGACTTTCTACTGTGGCTGTCGGAGGAGATCGATACACATGACTGGGATCAGTTTGAAAAGAACTGGGCGTTTCCCATGGGGGTGGCCTTGAATGTTATATTCCTGATCGCTCGGGCCAACAGTCAATCGAACAGCAGTCAAGCTATCGATGATGTCTTTGGTGATGATGGAAGCACGCCGTGGCTGAGTTGGTTTGTATGTGGCACCAGATCTGTCTTCACTTATGCTTTGTTTATTTGAATCTGCTTTCAATATGGTTCAGTGCTAACTCGGCGATTCATAGGCTTCGTTTATCGTCCACCTCCTTACCACGTTTACCGCATTCAATGCGTTCTATACATTCTACCGCAAGCGACATTATCGCATGTTCGAAGCCTCCATCGATCGGGCACCTGCGACACCGTCCGCTCACCGAGTGCGGGTCAATTCAACGCCCGTGACCGCTTCGCCATTGAGATATCTGGCTGATACGCTAGCTAAATCGGCACAGTCGAGAGCGCACCCAGACGCGCAACGGGATGTGTGGGAGCTTGCCGTTTGGGACCCCCTACCCATCTGCATTCGATTGTTCTGCCTCTTCAGTCCCGGACATGTCTTGGTATACTGGGTTTTCCTGCCCACCCAACTATCTGATCCCAGACCCAGTGTAACCATCGTCACCACTATCTTCATCGCGGCTCTGCTCTCGGTGCAGATGACGTTCCTTTCCTCGTCTTATACACAGCAAGCGAAGGATTCCATGTTGGTTCACAAGGAGGTTCTCCGGGAGTATGACACTAAATACGTGCACCCTCGGACCCAGCCTTTGATGAGAGATGTGGGCACTCAGTTCTCCGAATCCGACTCCGATATCAAGCAGAACAAGGTTGATACCTTTACCCCGACGGTTGTTCTCCACAGAGGATTCAAGACGAGCCCGAACCCCAACTATGTTAGCCATGTGGACCCTGAAGGTCTGTCGTCTGGACGCCAGTCTCTAGCAGCGACCCCCAGTGGGGTTTCTCATCGTGCAGCTGCACTGCAGACTCCAAGTCATTTGCGCGATGCTTCTCCTATTGTGCGCAGCTCTATCTCTTCAATTCGTCAACCTCAATTCCGGCAGACACCGACTACTACGGGCGATGGTGGAAGTCTTGGCATTTACTCGCATGCCAATTCGCCATTGAGGAAGTCTACGTCGACCAATTTCGAACGTCGTCTCCAGAGCAACGGCGACTTCTTTTATAAGGAACGGGGTGCAAGCGCATTGAGGCGGCCATCTAGTCCACTCAAGAAAAGCAACGTCCCTGCGGGGAGTCCACTAACACCCGGACCGAGACGGAGTCAGATTGACGCTCGACGCGAGTCTGGACGGTTTTGATTTGATTTGTGCGATTAGACATCATGCGCCAGCAATCACGGCACAGAAGGGGCATCCTTCATGTATAGTATGATGTATCATCTCAACGGCGTTGTCATAAGGTCATTATCAAGCTCGGGTACTTCTGGTGACCCCAGGTTGCATTTGGAGTATCAGGTGTGGCGCTGAAACATTCAAGCTTTTGGATCCCTGTTCTCATTAAAAGCTTTTCCTTATTGTGTTTGACTACCTCTTGTGATCCCCTGTGCGACCCTATTGGATTCCCCTTCTGCAAACAATGAAGAGAGCCGGTCCAGACTGGGAATGTAGTCCGGCAATGGACGAGACCTATCTATGGCCGATAACGATCCAGCCGCTGTGCAACATGCCCGATGCGATGCTGGGTGACTTGTATTTCCGGTGAGTTGACCATCGTGGTTGCTGTTCGTGTTCCCTCGATCTAAGACACGTGTTGACGTGCCTAGCAGCGCCCTTGACTGGGTCATGACTTCATCCTCCTTGGGCCTTCGTCCTTACCCTACTACCCAGGAATCCGCACCTGACAAGAGAAAACGACTGGTCCAGTCGCGCGATGCTTGCAGTTGCCATGCCGAAACTATGTCACAAGCCCAGACATACATTCTCCGCCGGCCTCGATCCGTCCGTTGCTGCATTCCTCATAGTGGCGAGCGCGGGAGCGCCATACATTCCAGTCCTTATCGTCACATACATTACCCCTTCACGACCAAGCGGAACGTGCCAAGTGCTGGAAGGCATTGCGAGCTTTTCCTACCAGATCCCTGCCTCTTGCTGACGAGACCGCGTCCCCATCCCCATCCACAATCCACACGCTGTACGCCTTCAAGGGTGTCCACCGAACAACAGCTTCAAGGATACTCGTGCTCGGGAAGGAATGGGTTTTGGTGCTGACGCTGCCTGGCATTAAGGTCGAAGCTGCTGGGGCTGCAGCAGTTCTCAACGGATGAAGATGGACGAGATCTTCCATCTACCCAATGGACATCTGCTGAATCTTCAACCTCGACCCCGCCACGGCAAGCGGACAAGAATCAATCACGAGGTACAGACGCCCGCACAAACCCAAGGTTCTGCATCCAAGACCGACGAACGCCTCAGGTCCGCCGGCAGCAAGGAAACCACCCGCGCATCGTCTGACACGGCTTCACGGAAGGGAAAGCCTACTAAACTACCGCTTCCTACGACGTTTACCGACAAGGATAAAGATAAGAGAAAAGAGATACCCACTGCCTCTGAACATAAAGGGCGCCGTGCCGACAGGGCTCTTCAGCCAAGAAGGTCGTTCGGGATACCAGAGCGCACACCGCCCAAGAACTCGGACAACGATCGCGACCAGTACTGGCGGAAGGTGAGGGATAAGTGTGAGAAGGATAACCGTTCTCCGCCCACTAGAGAGAAACCTAAGGAATACTATCAGGAGGCTTACCGAAAAATCGCTTCGCTGGCTAACTCGCCACGACAAGAGATCGCCCGGCAGAAGCTGAAGCAGCTGGCGGGAGGAACGCCTCGGGTCGACCGGTCATCACTCCCGAGTGCCAACCTACGAACTAAGATCCCACATTCGAACGACAGCCGGTCCAGTCTTGGGCGCAGTCCGAAGGTAGGCGTGATAGTTCCCTCGACGGGTCAGAGGAAACGCCCGACCAACGGAGACCAACACGCGCATCTGCACTTCAGCAAATCCACGCCGGCGATCTCATCTGAAAGAACCGACACTACCACAGACTCGTCCGAGCGTTCGCATCCTTCAATATCGCCGGTATCAGCGCCTGCCAGCTCGTTAACGGAGTGGGAGGATAGGTTTGTGGTCAACATGCCATCCGCCAGGGACCCAAACCCGCCAACCATGAATGCGCAGCAAATCTCCAACTTTCAGCAAAGCATTGAAAAGGTGCACAAAGAAGGCGGAACGATGCTTGATCCGGATACTCTCCCAAGCCCACGTACGAGGACTCCCGATGATAGCACCACCAACTCTTCAGGACCAGAAAAGAAAGTACCCGGCCTTGATGGTCAAGATTCATCTCTTGACCGTCCATCTGAGACCAGCGACATCAATAAGCCTTCTGGGCACCGCCGATATTACAGTCCAGAAGAGGTCGGAAAGCAACGCTTCAGCACGATATGGGAAGAGTCCCCCGGGAAATCCCCTCATGATCCCCCTATTGCGAACCCCGATGGGTCTTTTTTAGGATGCAAGGAAATCAATGGGCCTTACGACAAGAACCCCGACGAGATTCTACTTTTCTCGACCACGGACGAACGGCCCAAAATGATAGATATCCCGTCCGGACGACCCAAGGTACTGAGAGAAGGGAAGAAAGCCGCCAACCACCTCCGGGTGCCACCGGTGTCTCCAGAGAAGGCTGCTGTTCAAGAAGAATGGAAACCGATTTCTCAGAATTTGAAACAAGCCCAATGCTCGAAGCCGTTAGTCAGGACAATGTGTCAAGAGGCCAAGTGTCGGCAACCGGAAAGGCCGGAAGACTCTGCCAAAGAACCTATGAAGGAGAATTTGGACATCTCGGGGAACGCAACCAAGCATTACGAGAAGCAGAAATTGGGTCCCAAGCCCGACGATGTCTTCATTATCACACCCACTATCACACGCACTATGGTGCCGCTGACAGACTTGAGAGAGCATCCAACGAAACAAGATACACAGGAGCCTGTCTCGCGAATCGCAGGCGAGATAAATACGGATCCTCGAACGAAACCGCAGACGGGCAGCTCAGCATCGGGCTTGCGACGGGCCACCCAAAATTCGTGGGAAAAGTCAAATGCGCCCTGCGAAATATCCTCCTCGGATGCAGCCCCTCCAACAAATCCCCACCCAGCTCAAAGCCGGGTAGAAAAGGAACGCACCTCTCCGCACAAACCTCGCGCTATTCGTGGATTCATCCGTACGCAAGGGCTGCCCAAGTCCGCAACAGGAAATTTCGGCGATTCCCTCGGCAATAATCATCGGAAGCCCTTGATTGCCAGCCTATCGCCGAAGAAAGACAGAATGTACTCCTTGAAGAGCGCATCAGATTCGACGCTCGTTGAGAAGCCAGGCTCCTCACATGACATTTCGCCCACGGCTTCGATCAGCAGAGATAGACTGCAGGGCAGCATGGATAAGGAAACTAAACCCTTTGAAGTTGCTGAACTGGATGGACAGCAAGTGACCGGCACATCCAAAGAGGAACTTTTTCTGTCCAAGATCACATATTTCAATTCCGAGTTGCATAGTAACAGCATGCCGACCGACGAGAAGGAGACCGTCAGTCAGGACATGCTGAGTCTCATTAAGGACGCCCTACTAGAGCTAGCAGGACAGCTTCAGAAGCTTTATGACCAGATAATGGCCAATCGACATTCCCGGGCCATGCTGGTAAAAATTGCCTTCAACAGCGTCTTGAAAATGATTGAGCATTGCTTGCATGTTCTCAAGGATCTCTTGGCAATCCTGGCCCTCTACAATACAACTGGAGCCTGGCCGACGCCCAATCGAAAGGATTTTGCCCGGTCATTGATTGACCTTTGTGAGGCTATGATCTACCTCGTGACCCTGGGGTTCATCATGATAATAATAGGCCGAGCGGCCGGATACGTGGTCCTTGTTGGGAGCTGGATCGTCTGGTTTGCCAAGCCTTTCGCTTGGTTACTGGGAACATTGGGGAGAGCCCTGTTAATATGAGTTGGCTCTTCGATTAAGTGTTGACCAGACGCCGGACTTGTGTCAAGGCACACTTGTTCTACTTGCTTTCCCCATCGAGCTGCACGGCGAAGGGCAGTAGAGTCTTGCTCGGCCTTGTCGATCTTTGCATCTTGTCTTTTTCGCCATAAGTATTTTTACGTAATTCAGTATTGATTCCCCTGTCATTTGCATACACGTTTATGATACTATGTTGTAGCTAGCGTCCTTTCACCTGTTAAAATGCATGCCGTCAGATCTTCTATTTTTCATTCGTAACATCCCTGGCTAGTTTTAGACATGATCGTCAGCAATGTCAGACTCCCCAGTAGGCCAAAAGAATAAATCCCGGTCACAGCACTGGGTAGAATAATAGATAGATTCCCATCAGGCTCTATTGTTAGCATACTACTAGAAAACGAGACAGGGAGAACGATAAGAGCGAAAAAGAAAGGTATGCATGCGTCTATTTGACCTAAGAGCCGGGTATCCGACCACCCAGCTAGTACCTGATGTGCACAAGGAACCGGGATGCAAGAAAATGCGAAGAGTGAGATGAGATGAGAAATTTGAAAAAAGAGAAAAAAAAAAAAAAAAGAGGAAAATGCAGAGCAATGGCTTGAAAGCCAAGAGAATAAATCAGATGATCCATTTAGTTGAAGACTCCGACCCAAATCCCATGTTGAAGAGGATCACTTTTTGTTGAAATGTAGCACATGTGTTCTCGTAAGCCCAACTCCGTCATCCATAGTGTTGAATTCCATAAGTCCCCCTTTTTTAATTCTGTAAGCCATCTCTTTTGGACAAATCAAGAAGTGAAGAGAAAGAAAGGTATAAGAGGAAGAAAGAAAAGAAAATGAGAAAAGCTTCCCTTTTTTGGGTCCGCTGGCTTCGAGCTCTATGGTAAATAGATGAAAAGATTGTTGAAGTTTCATGCTCGATAGGTGCAAAAGCAAAATTCGACAGGGGGGTATATTTTTTGGAAGGTGAAGATGTCATGTTGAAATTAAATAACGCTCAGGGAAGAAATCGTTGAGAGGTCTTCATTTCGTGCCGCCGTAAAACGTTGCAAAGCCCGAGGGTTTCATTCGGGCTGATAGTCGTTGAGGTGTGATGTTGAATTAGTAGTAGTATATGTTGAATTAGGAAGTCGTAAGTGTGGGTTGAAGAAATGTATAGTAATGGTGAACTTATCCCCTTGGAGCTGCAGAGTTCGCATCTAGTTCTTCACTGCAGTTTCCGGGGCGGCTCCGTTGAGGACGCCGTTGGTCGTTCCATTTGCTGCTCCGTTTGTGTGAGCTTTTGACTCGCCGTTCTCCACGGAGATTTCAGTATCAAGATCTTGGACATCCAGGTCCTTGAACAGATCGAAAAGGTTGCTGGTATTGTGGAAGTCGTTGTTCACTAAAGGTTTTCAGTTGGTCACCATGATCACAAAAGGGATAAGATTATAGAATAAACTCACCGATGTTGACAAGGTACCAGCTGTCCATTACACCCTGAATCAACTTTCTACTGGGGCTGGAGGCATCATGACACTTGGCCCAGTCTTCACCAAGACGGTACGCCTCGTCCTTCCAGGCCAGGAAACTGACGGTCTCCACGATAGTGGGCTGGACAATCTCCCTTCCTGCGAAGATACCCCACGTCAAGGCGTTGGGGCTGTCACGGGTGTTGGTCCGCAATTCGCCATCCTTTGAGATAGCATGGTACGTAAGGTCACCGTTCTTTTCGATGCGACCAATCAGCTCACCAAGTAGGTAGGGGGGGACCAAAAGCTCAAGGTACGCCTTCTGGTAAACGTATCCGTTCTTGGGTCCCCATCCATACACCGGGTGGGAAGATTTGACTCCGTTCACCGCCGGTTGGGAGTTGATCGTGAACAAACCCTTCTTGTTCAGCTCGACTAGGCTCTCCTTGATTGCGTTGGCTTCGGTGGTGATGGGGGTGTCACTCCAGGGCAACCGCGCCAATTTGCCTTCCAGGAAGCTGACGAAGATATGAGTAAGATCCCGAAGAGACTTGGGTTCGCCCCAAAGCTTAATGTTCTGCTCGTTTGTGCCCTTGAGTCCTATGCCATAACTGTCAAGTTCACCAAAGGCGGGGGAACGAGAATCGGTCCAGCGACCGTTCGGAAATTCGTCCCAGGTCTGCGTGCGAGCAATGTAGGATGAGTTGCGGTTCCTCCAGAAGATCGGGCGGACATCCTCCGCTCTGCGGTTGAGACCAAGCGATGGCCGCCAAGGCAGGGCTCTCTGAAGTGGTGTCTCTTCGGACGGCATAAGGTTGAGTTCGTCGAGAACCAACTGTGTAGACTGCGCAAGATTCATCGTGTAACTAGTCGTCCATGTAAGCCAAATCACATCTTGACTCACGACAGAAAAGGGTGAAGGGACACTTACAAGTGCAGGTGATTGATACCAGCCGCAATAAGTCTCCTGCACATGTCTGCAATAAGCCGCTTCCCAATGTCTCTCACAGCCGCGTCATCGTTCTTCACGGGTTCCAGTGCCTCGAGCCAGTCGGGGGGGATGCGAACCTTGGTCCAGTTCGATCGCCGAATGAATGCAGCATAGGTCTGAATCGGCATAATACCGGGGATAATGGGCACGGTGATGCCCCTGTCTCTGCACTTTCTAACCCATTCGATGAAGTTGTCCGTGTCGTAGAACATCTGTGTGATGACGAATGAAGCGCCAGCATCGACCTTCTCTTTAAGATGGTCGATCAACTGGTCCACATCCGGGTTGTCATCCGCACCTTCAGGATAACCTCCAACACCGATATCAAAGTGGTTGCCATACTTGCTTCTGATATAGTTTACCAAATCTTTCGCATAACGGAAGCCCCCGTCCGTGGCTTCCCAAGCCTCCTTGTCACGCGGAGGATCACCACGGAGAGCCAGGATGTTGGTGCAGCCTGCCTTGTAGGCAGCCTGAAGCGCGGCGTCCACCTTCCCCAGCGGCATATCCGTGCAAGTCAAATGCATACATGTCTCCAAACCATACACCGACTGCGCAACATTGACCATCTCGCAGGTCAGGTCCGATAGCCGGCCACCAGCGCCCCACGTGATATCGATGAAGGAAGGGCCTAATGCGTGCATGCGATCCATTCGGTCGTAGAGATTCTGGACACCTTGGGCCGTCTTCGGGGGGAAGAACTCGAAGGAGATTCCCGTCCTTCCGGCCGCTTCATTTTGGGCGAGCTTCTCTTTGATGTGCATGGCGAAAAGTTACACTGGCCACGAAGTGGGCAGGTCAGTATTCGGATCCTGGTTCGTAGGGAAAGTGAAAGGACATCCCCGGGGGCGTTGGGAATGATAGTGTCTAGTCACTGGGAAAACTGGACTTACAGGTCCCGGGCAGCTTCGAAGAAAAAGATTACCCCAGAGAAAGAATCATACAGGCCTGCGCTTCTAAAGGCTCTTTGTGATTTTGTGGCTCACCGGTTCCACCAGGGATAGCAAGACCACTTATAAGAAAGGAGTAAAGGGACAGGATCAATTCATATATAACGCAATACCTTGTCAAGCTCTGCAAGTCCCCAAAGCCAGCACAACGACAGACAGGCAGACAGACGAGAAAGAGTAAGCAGCAACAAAGGGATCGAAGCCAGTGGAAAAGGTGGGGTCTGCTTTTAAGCCGCCGGTGTGGTCGGTCGGGCAAGTTAGAATCCAGCCAGCGCAGAAGAGGGGGCCGGCCTTCGGAGCAGGTGGGCCGGCACGTGTCTTGCGCTGACTGTCCCTTCTTATTAATGCCCCGGGGGAGAATCAGACAAAGATATGATCTGATCGCAACAGTGCCTTTTGCCTTTGCAACGGACGGCCCTTGTTCAGGGCACAAATCTTTTTCTCGAGAATATACTACATAGACCGCCGCTGCTGTGTTTACGGCGGACGACAGCGGCCTTATGGAGAATGATTCTTTCCATCGAAGGCTCTCCACCGGTTTGATCACCGCTTACTGACCCACCGCCTTCCATTCCTACGTACGGAGTACTCCGTACTCCGTAGGCAGGCTAAATCTACGCAGACAAGCAGGCTAAATGAAGTCAAATCTATTCAAGCAGGTTAAGTTGAGCTGAATGTATACAAGCAGTTTGAACCATGTTAAGTCTACACAGCTCACGGCTCACTTTGCCATTCGAAATGGATTCGGCCGAGATCAGCTATGACTCCATCTATCTAGTGATCTTTTCCGCCGGTTCGGAGTCTCACTTTCCGCGTCCCGAACAACCCCGAAGGAGGGGGGAAGGAACCCTAGGGATGAAAGAAAAAAATAACCGAATATCATCGAATATCGCTAGGGTCGACGGAGTACTCCGTACCTAGTAGAGATCTCACGCTACGCTGTCACTTAAAGCAGTGCTTAGGTACTATTATCGCGTCTAGATCTAGCCGCACGGAAATATATCTTCATGACCATTTGACAACTCGATGAAGAATTGAGCTCAGTAATCTCTCGACGATACGCCATCAAAGCTCCGATAATGACAGATAAAATTGTTAGAACACAGACTTATCTTGAACTCTACTAGATCTTTCGGCCTGAATCGGCACCCTTTTTTCTCCGCCACGACAAAGTCTGGAAGCGGCATGGGAAACGCATAGAATGCTCTGGACAAAAAGGACAATTTACATCGGCGGTGGGCTATTGATTTTCTTGATTTAAATAAAACCAGAAAGACGAACTTGACTGTGTTCTTGCAGGTTGTACCATCGACCAAATTAGATAGTTTCTGATCTGGAATGTGACCGAGCAGATGAATATGCATTGTGAAGTCAGTTTCTCCGATGGTGCCTCGTGCAAAGAGCATACTCTTTGTAGCCTCAATTTGTGCTTGGACAATATCCCACATATGGCAAGTTAATGATCATAGGAGTCTCCCACTAGGTATTGTGAGGTTCGTATATTTTCTAAGTGCCTATTGAAGTAGGAGATTACAATATATGCTATGGAGCTCCAGGTAGGCTATGGCATGACTTTACTGTCTAGCTTTTCTATCAATGAAAGACTACCACTAAATCATTGTTATACCTATATGTATATAGAAGAAAGAAAGAGTCAAAACAAGAAGAAGAGAGGGAGGGAGAGGAGCAACATCAGAGGCTAGCCTACCATCTCTTCTCCTCATAGCAATTATCTTTCATCTGATGAGAGGCTCTGTCCAACACACCCTGAATGAGGAACAGTATACTATCTTCAGTTTACTATCAGGTAGTATATAAATCAAAGAGAAGACAGGCAACGTGGAAGGAAAAGGACCTAGATTGTTCGATACATTCAATAGTTCTTTCGGGCACGGTTATCGGAGAGCTACCGTCCGCAGTTTCCACTGCATCCTG